GTGTTGCTAATTGGTGTCAGAGGCAGAGAATTATGGGAGTTAGTGAGTCAGAAAAAAGAATCTCAGCCTGGAGAACTGTTGAGCTAGTTTTCCCGATGATTTGAGTGTATATGCGGAGGAAATTGTTTGATTTCACGATGTTTGAGTCGGAAGGAGAGATGGCTCGCGCTTAAATGATTGTGTTGAGAACCAGCCGATGAAACCAGTGCATCTCTGGTCAAGCGCACGTAAAGAAACATTACGTGAACAATAGCACTTGCCAAGCTAGTTTCCGAAAAGTTATTTTCCGTAAAATCTATTTATGATAATATTTGCGCTCAGTTAACCCTCATGTGGGTTTCCTTGACCACAGATGGGTGAAAATGTTATACATAGCCACGATGGCTTTACATAACAGCAAGTGGAGTAAAACAGATTAAGAGTCTTTCTTCTTGTTTGTATTGGTTCTGATATCTTTTAAAAGACCCAAATGAATATTGATTTTAACTGTCGATATATTTATTTCACCTGTGTATTGTCATAGATGTAATTATATATTTGGTGACATGCTATTACGTAATGATAGAATTTTTTAAAAAGTCGGAAGTGCAAATTTTATATGATTTAGAACAGATGGATAATGACCAAAAACGTGAACATGAATAATATAAAACTCTTAGTAAAAAAATGAAATTAAATACACAAATAAAAGTTACATCGTTACATAAACAAGTGAGGGACGAGTAAACCAAAGGGTGGGATATATATCGTGTGTGCATATATATATATAGTATACTTTATTTCTGTTCTTATTCACACACATACAGACACAGACACACACACACACACACACACACACACACACATATATTTAGTGCAGCGAACGAAATGAATAAATATCAAATTTTAATAATACTCAGAGATTTTCTATAATTAAATACATTATTTTTTATAACTTTAGAAAAGTCAAAACAATATTTTAATATTTATAAATATATATAATGTATACATATGTGTGTGTGAAGGAGAACAGCGAACGAAATAAATAAATATCAAATTATAATAATACTCAGAGATTTTCTATAATTAAATTCATTATTTTTTATAACTTTAGAAAAGTCAAACCAATATTTTAATATTTATATATATATATAATGTATGCATATGTGTGTGTGTGAAGGAGAACAGCGAACGAAATAAATTGATATCAAATTATAATAATACTCAGAGATTTTCTATAATTAAATACATTATTTTTTATAACTTTAGAAAAGTCAAAACAATATTATAATATTTATATATATATAATTTATACATATGTGTGTGTGTGAAGGAGAACAGCGAACGAAATAAATTAATATCAAATTATAATAATACTCAGAGATTTTCTATAATTAAATACATTATTTTTTATAACTTTAGAAAAGTCAAACAATATTTTGATAGTAAATAAATAAATAAATAAATAAATAAATAAATAAATAAAAGTGATAGTTCAATACGGTGATTGTAGTATTGCCACACTGTATAAGTCCATACTGTCCGACTGCCCAGCGTGTCTCAATAGTGAATGGAACGCTGCCACAAATATGTACGTTATTGCTCCAAACGTATGGCATAAACTACTTAATGCACCCCACACATCTTCAGTGCTTGGGCTCAGGTTAGGAGGGGCGGGTCAATTATGTAGTGAGAGAACAAATTTCACAGGGATTGATAAAGTACAGAACAGAAAGGAGAACTATTTTAAATGGAAATTGATATAGCGTTCACTACATGGGGTGTTAGGTCTCATTTAATACCTCGCTTGTTCATTTCATATCAATATGGCGGCGCACAATGGCGTCTTACAGGGGAGATAATTTCTAATTGCCAAAAGAAGAGGACCGCGTTACAACAACGACAAAGGGGTGTTGAAAAGAGACACAAATTTATTGAGTTGCGTTCAATGACTGCTTTGGGGAAAGTGGTCATTCGAAATGAACAGCCCAGGTGATGTGTTCCTGTGAAAGGATTAACTATTTAACGAGCCCTGTCACGACTGGAGGTAGTGTGGTGTCACTCGGTGCAAGACGCGGTCTTTACACGGGGTGAAAATGTGCGGACAAAAAGACAACAAAAAATCCCTACCCCCTGCTTCGTTTAGGCTCGTCACTGGGTCACACGACAGCGGCAATTTCATGCAAAGTTTATCAGAAAAGAAACCTGAGGTCAAGACTTAGAGATAAGCTCTTGCACTCGAGATTTCAGTTCTCTCCCGAGGGAGCGTTCAGTGCAGAAACCCTGATTATTAGATTTATATTATTTTCTTGTTATAAAGGAACACACTTGATTAGGTACAGACTGTAATGTTGGTCCGAAATATTGCCATGCGAGGACTCTATCGTAGCTAGTATGACTGACGCCAGTTTTATATTTTCTTTTCTGTTGTCATTCTGTGCTAGTGAATACACTTAATTTATTTATGTTAATATTTTATGTTTACAATTGGTTAGAATTAATATCACATAAATCGTGTCTATCCCTGTTTATCCTTTTGCCTGAAACGAAGCCTAACCCTAACCCTAACCCTTACATACATGATTTTATGCGGGTTTTTATATTTATATGGTGTATGTCATTTTATATATACATTTTATTGGCATGTCAGATTGTCAACGTTTTTCGCTTTCGCTTGAAGAAAATGATCTTTGATAGAGTCAGACTTACGGCCTCGGGCAGCGAGCTCGGGTTCACAAATTTATGCTCAGAAAAAAAGGTTTTGACCACCCAAGACTTCGATGGTTTTATAAAAAATAAATCTACACGGAATAGATTATCGGTTTTAAATTGAAAAGCCTCTTCTAGATGTGTAGGACACTGAACATCTGTAAACATAGTATAAACAATATTAATGTGTGTCAAGTCAAAGATATTTATTGCATTTAGGGCCCCCGGCCCCTATACAAAGGAGTCACGTATGAGTAGTTTTACATATTCGGATATATACACTAACGTTTAACGATTCGTTTTTTTTAGAGAAATTGCCTCTTTACATATCTAGCCAGTTTTAATATGACAGCATCATCTTTGAAGAGAGAATAGAATAAAAAAGCAGGTAGGGGATAATTTGACAAATATCTGGTTTAAACTTGTTTCTTAGATCAGGATAATAAGGACAAACTAAAGTAAAATTAAGTTCATTTGCTATAGCTGAATGACATAATGGGCATAACCTCTTCGGATTTTCAGTGGACATTTTTCTTCCTTCATCCATCATGAGATCTAACAATCCAAACCTTACTTGAATAAATGGACGTCGAAGGGTTCTTGAGGTAGATAAGTCTTTTTCTGGTTGAATTAGACACTTCAAAGTTGTATACAAGTCCTACCTTGAACTATGTTCTCCAGTGGAATGCCATTCTTGGTCAAACACATTTATAGATTGTTCACGAAATTGTTCCAAAAAGAGTTTAACATCAACAACCGTTTGGTTTAAACATACAAAACCGTAGAAGACAAATAAAACAAAAGGTCTTGTGAAGAGTGTTTTGTCACTCTAAATCTTTATGCATAGATCCAAATATGAAACAGATGGAGTGGTATCATTGGTCTTCTGTATTGCTAGTTCATGTGGGTAAATCAGTGGAAAGGAATTGGCTATATGTTGGTTATTGGTTATCTTGAACACGTTATAACATACAGGCGGTAAGCATAAAATGCATGGTCATGCTGTATCAATTCAATCAGCATGTAATGGGGTCAAAAGTCACAAACTGAAACTAGATATGTGTCCTTGCTCACCAGACATTGACAGATATGAATATGACGCCAAACCCTTTCCATATTCATAAGAAACCTCTGCTGAAAGAATAGTTGATTGTACGGTTCCGACTGAATCATGAGCATGTGGTGATGAATCACTATAAAATAATGATGACACCAGGTTTTAGCGAAAAGGTGAGAGTATCCTGCCCACCCGCTGACACATGCAATTGCAAGACAGTTGTTCATCTGAAAAAACACTGAAAAATGTGGGTACAAGTCAAAAAAACGGAATTACATCAGATATCATTTTTGTCACTGAAGCCAGTGTAGTGTAACCCAAATAATGAGCAGACAGATACAGCTATATATAAATCAAGTCTACATTTAACCAAGACCTGCCAATATGGAACCGAAGTTGGGGGTGACAATGGGGGCATTGTCAGTGATGGATTAGTAAATATAAAAGAACAAATAACGACTCAATCAAAGGCTTGGCGATGCATATTCACGAATCCATATCAGCCTCCTTCTTCAGAGGACGGGGGCGGTCGGGTAGCCTAGTGGTTAAAGCGTTCGTTCGTCACGTCGAAGACCCGGGTTCGATTCCCGACATGGGTACAATGTGTGAAGCCCATTTCTGGTGTCCCCCGCCGTGATATTGCTGGAATATTGCTAAAAGCGGCGTAAAACCATACTCACTCACTCACTCTTCAGAGGACGCCGGGGTAGTCCAGTGGTTATTCATTCGTCGATCAAACCGTAGGCTCTGGTTCTATTCTCTACACTGGTAAACTATTCAAAGCTCATTTGAGGTGATATTGCTAGAACATTGCTAAGACGTGAAACATTGTGATTCGGTCATCGGGAAGAGGTGGTAGTGGGTAGGATGGTAGAATCAACCACTAAAAGTTTAATGTTTCCGGAAGAGCCCCTATCATATGAAGAATGGTGCTTATATTCGATTCCTGATGAATGTTTGATAATAAAAGACCGGTCTATTTATTGCACTTGTGTCTATATTCATCTATCATATTTATTTAGCTATAATGCTACTTGTCGTTTTGCTGAAAAAATGTTATCTATCGAAGGTTGGGTTCTAATAATAAACACACTGAATCCTGTTTTTAAGCGGAATGTCCGATAAGACCAATAAGAATGTGAACAAAGAGGTGTCCATGATGTGAGGTCAGCATTGACCCCAATGGCCGTGGTTTGGTCTTCGTGGCCTACAAGATAAGATAAGCTCACACCCAACGTTAAATAGAATACCTGAGTGAACGTGTTCTTTGATTCACGACCATGAGGACAGTCCTCTTGTTCCTTGTTTTGGGCAGCCTGTCCTTCTGTGTCCTCTGTTTATGTCCTCATCAGACGCCGGGACTCAGGAGATGGTCCCACGGGTCCAGCTGGCCGGGTAATAAGGTAAAGTCAAAATAAAGAAAATAATGTACGAACTGCAATGAATTAAGGGTTACTTTTACCCAAGGGGCTGGGATGTAGGTAAACCTATTTCCAGTAATAATCTCTGAGAATTAGCAACTTGTTTGTTGGTTTGTTGTTTGCAATATTCCAGCTGTATGACGGCAGTTTGTAAGTAATCGAGTCTGGATTAGACAATCCAGTGATTGACATCATGAGCATCAATCCACGCAATTGGGATATGATGACATGCATAGACCAAGTAAGCGAGCCTGACCAGCCGTTCCCGTCAGTCGCCTCTTGCTTCAAGCATAGTCGCCTTTTCGGCAAGCATGTGTTGCTGAAGACCTATTCTAACCCAAATCTTCAGGATACTTCTAACAAATGCACACAACATACCTATAATGATCTGAAGCAGGAACTAATTTCCGAAAGTTGAATTCATCGATTGATGCGATGACAGCTTGCTCATACATGATGATAGGTGCTTTTTGTTAGAGCAAATTTGAAATCTCGTCATGACGGTGTTGATTCTCTATCCAGTGAGTTAGTGAGTGAGTGAATGATTTGGGTTTAACGCCGCTTTTAGCAGTATTCCAGTTATATCACGGCGCGTCAGCTTTATGTGGGCGGAAAGCCCGATATTCTCTATCCAATATCCAGTAAATAAGTAAAGGCAACACATGTGTACACTTTATGTTTTGACTGATGATAGAATTTGATGAAATAACTTCACATTGACAGAAACCTGGTACACATGCCCGAGTGGTCATCACTGATGCCATACTGCTGGACGAATCCCCACCGGAACTGTCCAGTGTCACCATAGAAACGGGAGGACGCCTCGTGTGGAGCCCGGATGGAGATTACAATCTGACAACCCAGTATATTTTAATCAAGGGGCGTTTTGACATCGGCAGTGATGACTGCAAGTTTAACAGAAAGGCCAACATCACTCTGACAGGTAACGAGACGATAGTGATTAGTAAGTGAGTTTGATTTTACGCCGCTTTTGGCAATAGTCCAGCAATAGTACGGCGGGGGACACCAGAAATGGGCTTCACACATTGTACCCCTGTAGAGAATCGAAACCGGGCTTTCATCGTGACGAGCGGACGCTTTAACCACTAGGCTACCTCCCGCCCGCGATAGTGATTAACTGATGATGGCTTCCTTTGTCACTTATTTCACCTAATCTGTTCAGGAAGGAAATTCATTATCACAGATCTGATCCTACTTTTTATTGCACGTTAAACATAGCCTATTTTGGGAAGTATGAACGTGTAGCCCTTTATTCCAAACTATTGTGTGAAGACCAACACTGAAGCCTTGTGGTCAAAGCGTTGGCTTATGACGCTGATGGACCCGGTGTTTAAATTCCCACATTGGGACCATATATAAAGCATGTCTTGATATAGCTGAAATATTCAGCACTCCACTCACTCACTATATGTTTGTTTGTTGTTTAACGCCGCACTCAGTTATATTCCAGCTCTATGACGGCGATCTGTAAATAATCGAATCTGGATCACACAATCAAGTGAGTGACATCATGAGCGTCGATACACGCAGTTGGGATACGATGACATCGTCAACCAAATCAGCGAGCCTGACCACCCGATCCCATCAGAAACCTCTTTTCGTTGCTGAAGACCCATTCTTCCCCGGAACTTCACATTATAGTGCCATTGAATAGTATACATGTCCAACAACGGTGTTTCAGAAGGACCGTTGTCATTATACCCATTGCAATGCCCTCATCCTTTATGTCATCATCATGTTTACATGGGACATCAGTGAACATCTTCCCGAGGCAATACCGTTAACTGACTATAAATGTCCAGTTTCACCCTTGTCGAACTAGGCTGGAATTCCGCAGTTACATTTTGGCTGGACTAATAAAAAAATCAAACTCGCGAAACGAACTAGACATCCGGTTTGTAAATAACATTGATTTCAACGTGCAGATTTCGGTCAACTGAAGGATTTGCAAAGCATGTGTACCACCAACTAGGCGTCAACAGATAGTTTCCAAATCTTTTCACGTCTTTAATCAAGGTGCTCAAGTGATCTGATGCACTTCACGAGGTTAGGCCTGTTTTGTTACAATACAGATCTTGATTATCGATCAGATTGTCTTGACTGGGCGCCGCCATGTTGTTTGAAGCAATTGCAAGTGATATGAGAGGTGGAATCTGATTGGCCAATTTCGAGGGATATAGAAGGGACATAACTTGTAAATAGTTCGGAAATTCCAGCCTAGTTCGGCAAGGACGGAAACTGGACTTTTATCGTCATTTAACGTCCTTGCTTCGGGAAGATGTTCCTGAACGTCGTTATACAATCAACGCTATGCTTGTCGCACAACACAGGCGTTCGTGGCAAGTACAGGTACGTGATGGGGCCTCACCTGTTCGGGGAGAAGTTTATCGGGGTGGCTCCGGGTGGCACGTTGGAACTTCATGGCAGAGAGAAGCTGTCCTGGACTAAACTGACCAGAACTCTGCCCAAACTGACCAGCGCCAATGGACTGCATTACGAACACATAGTGAGTATACGCATTAAGTAGAAGCAGTTATACTTACACTAAATATATCAATTTTAACTATACTCATTGTATACTGGATAGCTGGGACGCTTCGAGATATGTAGTACATTGTTACCTGCCTTATATTACGTGTGTCACATTTCTCTTGCATGTCACCAACGGATGCTTATTCTTAGATACAAGTAGTTGTATTTTCAAATATTTGTACATGTTAATGAATACCACATACCAAATCAGATATGAGTTTTGTTTTGTTCAGCAACAATCCCTGGAAATGCGTTCTTGTCACTTTACTCGGAAGGTGGGAACGTCGGTTGATGGTGGTCATCTAGAAACTCATGTTAGATTGAAACCCTCCATGACCATCTGATTTGTTCCTGACGGTTCCACATAAGGCTGTGTGAACTTTGTGACCTTGACGCCTGACCTTGACGCCTGACCTTGACGTGCTGTCAATATTCGACACTGGCTCGTGTTTATTGGATTTATTAGTATATCATCTAACTGTGGGTTGGTAGTCGATGCAGGCACAGCAAAGTAGTCCCTGCTGTCAAATGTACACTGTCTAGCTATCATTGACCCACATCTCGTCTTTAAATGAAAGAAGAAAACCTTCATTAGTATTTTCTGAATTATTTGAAGGTAATTGTTTCTCAGACAGACAGAACATCAACAACGACATACCCTTGTCCTTAGCTTCCCAATTGCTTGTCTAACTGGGTTTTATTAAGTGTGTTTTGAGCCGCCCCCTTCAAGTGTTACCTTCACGTGTTTAAGCAGTTGTTCCGGTTTATTTGTAGATATACCCAATGATTGCACGTTTGTTTCACGCAAAGACTGATAGCATACAATGCCTCACCCTTTCACCGTCTGCACCCTGAGACCAAACGCCTTCACATCTGGTGTGTATCTACTTAAGTCCTGATCAGTGTGGACTGCATGGGCTGATCAGCTCACACACAGGATATGGTACCTTCGCACGTCAGGTGCTGCTGTGCACGTTTGCGATACAACCATTTTATCATCCTAAACTGACACATCACTGGCCTCCACAAGCCATGTCTGCCACGAGGTGTTGCTGCAATGAAATTGCATCGAAATGGACGTCACAATCAAATAACATCACTGGTCTCTCTGACACTGAAGCTGGTTGCCGGTTTTTTTATATACTCTCGGGAAACTGGTTATTACTATTTTCAAACTGAAACAGTTTGAAGAATCATTTTTGATGATATATAGAATCTCACTCTTGAATCTGACTCGTCGGTAAAAGTTTGTATCACCCCTGAATCTGACTCGACGATAAAAGTCTAACCTATTTACTGATCAACAGAAAAGCAACCATAGTTCTGACGGGAGTTGGAAGAAGGGCATTCATGCCTACGTCATGGATGGCAGAAATGGTCACGTGATCGACTTTGCAAACTACATCCTAGGGGAGTACAACAGTTATTACTCCCCGAGGGACCCCAAGTCTCTGGCAGGGTTCATCAACAGTAAGTGAAACATATTACAAACATAAGTCACTTACACATAATCATGTTGTTTCTCAATTTCTTGCAATTAAAGTACAGTGTCGACGAAAAACTACAAACATGATATACACACATCCCTCCGGAACTTGAAGAGCATGAACACAATACACCAATGCAGCGGGTTATCCGGAGCTATAAGCCGTGTGTCGATAACTCATCATGGTGCCAATAAGTCCTTTCACGGAGCAACAAAGACATAACGGCCTTAACCTGTAAAAGGTTCGGGTTCGAACATTTTTCGTTGATGTTTCTCTTTACTTGTAACCAACAGAATCTCTGCACTTGTACCCAGCAGACGAAATTCAAAATTAACTGATCGTTATAGTTGACGAATATGTGTAAACGCGCTATCAGGTCACTGAGTTGTCTGGTCCATCACCTGATTGTCTGTCCGCTGTCGCATGACAAGAGCACTGCAAATTGTGTGAGAGGCGGGTTCTACCGGTAGAAGGGGACAGGCTCACCCTTTTCCGGAACATCTGGTGTCATCACTGATTTTCATTCCTCCATTCATATAATCGTCACCGGTATTTTTCCTTTTACGCCGAATGAAATCTGTTTCGGCGGATATTGGATCATCTGACAAGTGTAAGTAAGATGTAAGTGTAAGTCCTACGTGTTCTAAGTCCTCTACATACAATTTAAGCATGAAGTGCATCGCGAAGTATATCTCCTGAGAGTTTAGGGCTTTGGTGTCTCCTTAGGCAAGTGACTTTGTTCGAAATGTGTCTCTGCTACCCTGCAGTTAGTGGGTACCCGGTAGGATGAGATTGTAATGTGGCTGTTAACCTTCTAGCGCCTGCCTCCCCAGGGAGCTGAGAATGAAAATCGTGTGCACACTGATCCATTGACCGACGTAATAATAGTGTAGCGCTATGAGCATCCACTTGGTGGATGGAATCTAGCGCATTTATTATTATTCTATTTACTAAAGTCATGAATATTCGTCTGAACTTCTATAGATACGAAGGATGGTAACATTATCCTTCTGAGTGTAAAGACGAACCTCGTCGAACCACGGGTCAATCTGACACCTGTATACGAGGCCGTGGAGACACTTACTGATGGACACGTGACCGGAAATGGCCTCATTAGATCTGTCCAGAAAGGCGACGCATTCGCCCTCATCATTCAGAAAGGTATTGTCATAACAGAATCAGGCAAAACAAACTACCCTGCCCTTCGTGAAGGTTGTGTAAAACGTTCTTGTATATTTCAGTCATCAGGGCTGGTATTGTTTTATGAAATAGAGAAAAGGCGGTTCAGTGGAAGAACGTTTCTTTTTATCACCAGAGATAGATGAATTCTCCCCTGTCCCCTGCATGAACTTAATCTTAAAATTGCTAAATGTTATTGGTTATTTTTTAATTGGGTTTTCTTATTTCAAACTGGGGCGTAATAGCCTCAGTCAATCATCATTGTTGTGTTTGAGTTTGTATTTAGGGAGGAAATAATGTATGAAACTATGTAATTCATATTTCACTCAAGTGAAATAACACTGTATGCCGAACTACTTTCAGTCTGGCTCTATGACACTATGGTGTTCACAGCAACACGAGATCACTGAGAAAATACGTAACTTCGTTTTTTTGTCAAATAACATGTTTATGTTTCGAGGAACCTGAGAAAGTTTACATTATCATGAATAGCACAGGAGAATCAAGTATTCTCTGTTTATTTTGTGACCCGTGAAGATCCGGGGTAGAATAGGTCTTCAGCAACCCGTGCTTGCCGTAAAAGGCGACTGTGCTTGTCGTAAAAGGCGACTAACGGGATCGTGTGATCAGGCTCGCTGACTTGGTTGATGCATGTCATCGGTTCCAATTGCGTGGATCGATGCTCATGTTGTCAATCACTAGATTGTTTGGTCCAGACTCGATTATTTACAGACCCCCGTCATATAGCTGGAATATTTCTGAGTGCGGCGTTAAACAACAAACCAACCAACCAACCAACTGTTTATTTTGTTCTGGCGTTTTGCTATTTTCGCACAGAAATTCTGCAAAGCAAAAGAACTCGGGGGAAACGAAACTACACCAACTCTGGTTGCCGTATGTTTTGTCACCCACGCCCAATGGAATCTGTTTCGGCAGATATTGGAGACTGGTTATTCTCTGGCGTTGACGTTTAAAATTTCAGTCCAAATCTGTGAGGTAGAGATATCAGTTACGCCTTTGACATGTCCACTCGTTTCACGGCAGAATTTAATTAAATAGGAAGGTCGCGCAGTGTTTCTGATATAGACAGTTCTTTTTGATTCAAGAAATGTCGAAGTCTGTGGATGTTTTGTACATTGATGTGTGGATCTACTGCTTGGCACGTAACTGTTGTTTCCTGTAACTGTTGTTTTGTTTACAAAATAGGGAAACCAGAATCTTTAGATCAGAAGATCGGTGTTAACTACAAACTACGATCACAGACTGCCAAGGTCAGTCTGACTCTCTGGGACAGACATTTGAAGTTCTCCGTCAGCAGCCACATCGACAACAAACACTCCTACTTGAACTCCGTCAACTTCAGGGTATTGTCAACAACGGCTGCATACCCCATCCTCCAGGTCATAGATGATGTGTCGACATGGCAACCAGGTAAGTAAAATTGTTTTAAATAGACTCTTTATAAAAGTATCGATCTATACAAGTGAGTGAGTGAGTATGGTTTTACGCCGCTTTTAGCAATATTCCAGCAATATCACGGCGGGGGACACCAGAAATGGGCTTCACACATTGTACCCATGTCGGGAATCGAACCCGGGTCTTCGGCGTGACGAGCGAACGCTTTAACCACTAGGCTACCCGACCGCCCACGATCTATACAAAAGGGGCGCTGTGACCCATGGGAAGTTTCAGTGAAGAGTTACGTTCCTTTGTTACTTAACATACAAGCTCCTCACAGCGATAGCCCGTTCGCGGAGCTCTCTTTTTATATGTTACCGAGAGTGTAACGAAGGTGTCACGCGCTGGGAAGGAGCTTGCTCAACATACTACAAGGGTCGTGATTGAAATGGCAGCTTAGGCATCATTCGAGTCTTGATTTGTCAGCATCATCCCCGTCCTCTTGGGCTTCACAATGGTTGTGAACGTCTGATTCCTGTATCATTTCTGTCTTCCTCCTACACCTAGATGATATAACGGAACTAGTGTTCAATGCTGCGTTAATCCCTACTCACGCACCCATTGACACCATAATAACCAATAGCAATAATTTTAAAATCATACATGTTTTTACCGTTTCTACGGGTCATGTATTTCCGTATTTAGACAACGCCTTGACGTCCATAACAGTGTGGTGTTACCTGAAGGTCGTGTCTTTCGTGTGTGATTTGCGGTGTGATGAGGTGAAATGGGGTTTTACCTCACGTTCAAAATCATTGCACTCAAATTGCAACGTGCATGCACGTCTGTGTGTGGCTGTTTGTAGTAGTCCGGACTTAATAATGCCAGTTTAATAGTTCTATCCTACTGAAAAACCATGCCGCAGTTCAACATGGATACTCCACTCAGACACAGCATACTGACTCCGAGACGACCAGTCCTTGTTATATCCCCTTAATGCCGAACACCAGGCAGGGTAACAACAAGTACCATCTGTTAACGTCATTTGGTATGAAGCGACCGGGGATAGATCCACAGACCTTCCGCCCTCCGGGCAGACGCTGTATCCTTTAGACCGCAGAGGCGGTTATGTTATTTAAAGCTATCGTAATAAAATGACACCAGGCAGGGTAACAACAAGTACCATCTGTTAACGTCATTTGGTATAAAGCGGTCGGGGATAGATCCACCGACCTTCAACTCTCAGAGCAAACGCTGTATCCATTAGACCACAGAGGCGGTTATGTTATTTAAAGCTATCACAATAAAATGACACCAGGCAGGGTAACAACAAGTACCATCTGTTAACGTCATTTGGTATAAAGCGGTCGGGGATAGATCCACCGACCTTCAACTCTCAGAGCAAACGCTGTATCCATTAGACCACAGAGGCGGTTATGTTATTTAAAGCTATCACAATAAAATGACACCAGGCAGGGTAACAACAAGTACCATCTGTTAACAGCATTTGGTATAAAGCGGCCGGGGATAGATCCACAGACCTTCCGCCCTCCGAGCAGACGCTGTATCCCCTAGACCACAGAGGCGGTTACGTTATTTACAGCTATCATAATAAAATGACATTTCATAAAGCAGACCATTTTGTCTAAACACAGGTGACAAAGTCATAGTGACGTCCACAGACTTCCAGTGGACCCAGACGGAGGAAGGCAGCGTCGTCAAGTGTGTGACGTGTCACCACAACCAAGTCCAGGTGGACTGTAAGTCTCCTCAGCATCACTTAACTAAGTCAAAATTGTTATGGATGAGCAACTTCTTTAATACAACTGGGCGACGTTTCGGTGTAGATTCTAACACCGTTATCAAGCAATGAAACGACGCAGATTCTAACACCGTTATCATGCAAAATCACCGAAAAGCCGCCCAATTGTAATAAAGAAACTGCTCATCCATAACAATTTTGACTTAGTTATCCTTCAAACTTCAAAATGCCACTCAAAGAAGTTACAGCATCAATTGTTAAAGAACCAATGTCTGATTGTCCTGTTCCGTCTTTTATAAACCAATACAAGCCTTCCGCGGTGATGTGGCCATCAAGCCTTGTACGACGAACAAATTGA